TTATTGAAAAGGAAAAATTGCGCATCACCCGATTTGGTGGGACAAGTTACATCGAAACCGACGTTGTCGAAGCTACGTTACAAACTACCGTACACGAAGTCAAAATTCGTCTTCGCGTCATGGAAGATATTGACGGAGATAAAATTTCACAAATAGAACCAGATGATATTCCGCACATTGATCCATTGAAATTGTCGATTCCAGAGACCATCACTGGATCGGTAATTGCACCATGTGACATCATCCTTGGGATGGATCAATTCTGGAATATATTTACAAGCCATGAAGCTGTCACGCTACCAAGTGGCATGAAAAAGATACAAACGATTTTCGGAGAAATCATATCGGGTATCTATGTCTCTGATAAAAAAGAACAACTCTCTAAAAATATGATTTCAAGAATACAAGAACAAGAAAAAATCTGGGAACTGGATGCCATTGGTATACTAGAAAATCCCGGAAAAGACGCTCAAGCCGAACTTAATAAAAAAATCGTCGAAGAATTTTATAAAAACGCTAAAATTGATGATGGGAAAATCTTTGTACAGTTCCCATGGAACGAAAAGAAAACAGAACTACATAATAATCTACCTATCGCGCAACGGCGCCTTTATTCATTATGCCAAAAATTACAGAAACCGGAAAATGCAACAATTATGCAAACCTACCACAAACAAATTCAAGAACAAATTGAAAAAGGAATTATTGAAATTGCACCCGCGAGCTACGGCACATGTTATTACATCCCACACGCTTGCGTAATTAAAGAAACATCAAACACAACCAAACTTCGAGTTGTCTATGACGCAAGCGCTCACTTGAAAGGGAGACCCTCCCTTAATGACTGTACGTACCCAGGACCATCAATGATCCCAAATATCGTAGGGATGCTACTACGTGCAAGAAATCCAAAGATTCTATTAATTTCCGATATAGAAAAAGCCTTTCACCAAATTCATCTACAAGATTCTGAAAAAGATTACACACGTTTTCTTTGGCTGAAGGATCCCGAGAAGCCTCCCAGCCCAGAAAACATAATTTTCTTACGATTCAATCGCGTTCCGTTTGGAATAAGCTCCTCACCATTCCTCCTTAATATTTCAATAAATTATCTCCTCGATCATTACAAACCCGAAATGTCCAAAGAAATATTACGGAATATATATGTCGATAATTTGATGCTTGGCGCAGCTGACGAAGGCGAAGCCTTCGAGAAGTATCAAAAGACCAAGCAACTATTTAATCAAATGTCAATGAATTTACGAGAATATATCTCCAATTCCGATTCGGTAAACCTTAAAATACCCGATTCCGATCGGTCAAATACCATTGCCCAAAAATTGCTAGGTTATCATTGGGATCCTACCGACGACCAACTGAAAATTAAAATTAAAATGGACTTTGACAGCAAAACAGCGACTAAACGTAAAGTGTTCAAAGAAGTCGCTCAAAACTTCGACCCACTGGGGCTATGCGCCCCACTATTGATTGATGCAAAAATCTTCAAACAAGATTTATGCCGACAACAATACCAATGGGACCAACCCCTTACTTTAACCGATCTAGAGAAGTGGAAAGCAATTGCCGAAAAATACGACAACATCGAAGTTACCTTACCACGTCGTGCTCTGGTCGACGCAGATACTCATGAATTGGTAGTATTTGGTGATGCGTCGCAACATGCGTACGCGGCGTGTGCGTACGTCATCAGTCGCACAGACACCAAAACTACAACACAGCTTATCATCAGCAAAAATCGTCTAAATCCACTAAAGCTACGCATGACCATTCCTCGAGGCGAGCTTATGGCTCTGCTTTGTGCTACCAATTTGGCCAAGTTCGTCATTGAGGAAACGGATCTGAAATTCAAATCTGTGAAAATATTCAGCGATTCAGAATGCGCATTGAAATGGCTGGTTACCCCCAAAGCCATCAATCTCGACGTGTTCACAAAACGACGTGTTGAGACAATCAGAAGCACTCTAGAAAATCTTACGGTACCATTCAGCATACATTATGTACCCACTGATCTGAATCCTGCGGACCTTGGCACTAAAGGAGTGGACCTCGAAAGATTCCAAACCTCCACTTGGCTTACAGGCCCAGAATTCATCAAACATCCGATCGACACATGGCCTGAAAAAAGCCAACGCAACTGGGAACTCCCAGAAGATCCCCATGTGGTATTCCTGTTTGGAAGAGCACACAGGCAAGAACCCGAAAATCTGATAAAAATTGAACGCTACAGTAGGCTCTCCAAAGCCATACGAGTAACGACAAGAACGCTTAAAATTTTGAAAGCGTGGATTACAAAAACGAATGCGAATAGAAATCAAAGTATCAAACTACCAGCACTCTGCCGAAACCTGAGTGAAAATCCTCAAATTATTACTAACGACGATACAATACCAGGTCTCGACCTACTACTTCTAGAACACCAACGAGATCCGGCAATAAATACCTATGCCCACCTGACAGTTCGAGATGAAAAATGCTTATTAAAATGTCCGGGACGCCTCGGGCAAGCTGACCTACCAACCTATCAGAAAGCCCCAATTTTGGTACTGCCAAAGTCACATTTAAGTATGCTAATAATACGACATTCTCATATCAAAACAGCACACAGTGGCGTCAACCAAACGCTTACTGCAATACGAAAGTGCTTCTGGATCCCGAGAATCCGAAGCGCGACACAAGCCTACATATCAAAATGCGTTCACTGTAAAAGATTCCAAGGAAGACCCTTCCGATATCCGCCAATGCCCGACCTACCCCACCAAAGGGTAAATCGAGCAATACCGTTTGAAAACTGCGGTGTCGATTACTTCGGGCCAGTCATGCTAAAAATGCAAAATCAAAATGAGCCCAGCGAAATCAAACGTTGGGTTGCATTATTCACTTGCATGACCACCAGACTCGTCCATTTGGAAATGGTCGAAGATCAAAGTGCAAGGACATTCTTACTCGCTCTGAAGCGTTTCTGCGCTCGTAGAGGAGTACCAAGAACCATGATCTCCGACAACGGAACCAACTTTGTTCTTGCCGAAAAGATCCTAAAGGCAACAGAACATCGTGAGGACACATTCCAAGACTTCCTCACTGAAAAAGGCATTAGATGGAAATTCATCACACCATTAGCCCCCTGGAAAGGCGGCTTTTACGAAAGAATGGTTGGATGTGTCAAAAAAGACCCTCGACAAACTTCAAAATCCACGAAAATTCCATCTGGATGAGTTTCCTACGGTACTCCACGAATTGGAAGCAATCGTGAACTCCAGACCATTAACCTACCCTGGTAATGAAATTGAAAACTATATTATTCGACCAATCGATTTCGTGACTCCAGGGTTACAATTGATAGAGGCCAATACTTTGGCGCACAATGTGGACGATCCAGAATTCGATCCCCAAACTAATCAAAATGTGCAAAAGTTGGTGAAAACCTTCAATGTCCACACCAAAGAACTTGAAAAAATGTGGCAAATTTGGAAAGACGTCTATTTAGCAGAATTACGCGAAAATCAAAAGAAACTAAATGCCCAAAATGGTCAATCTACTTCGATTGTACCAAAAGTTGGAGACATGGTTCTAATCATCGATACCAACAACAAAGGAATAAAAGCACCCCGAGGGTCTTGGCCCAAAGGTATTATAACCGAATTGATCAAAAGTCCGGATGGCCAGGTGAGAGCGGCACTCCTACGGACCCCCAGAACTAGAATTATCCAACGAGCTATTTCACAGCTTATTCCGCTGGAAATTGCTACGCAAATCGATATACCCAAAGAGACTGTTCACGAAACTAGACCAAAAAGAAATAACCAATTTACTGGCAATTATAAAGAAAATGACTCAGATGAAGATTGGTGATAAACAACATAAAAATACCCACTTTATACAAACTTATGTGCATTTATGGTGTTCCTCTCCGGCTGCGGCTTTAAGACCGTATGGTCGATTTCTCGTCCCCCGGGAGGGCATCGCGCCCAAATGCGGCGCAGATGCAAAATTACAAAAAATTCTAATATAAACACTCGTCCCCCGGGAGTGTCACGTCCCCGTGACGATGACGGTTACTTAACCTAATAAATCCCTCAATTAACTATAATTAATACAATACGCTGCTACGAGCAGCCCTTCTCCTTCTTGCCGGCAATCCTCCGAAGCCCGCAGAGCCGTGCTGATTGACCGTGTTCCCCGTCTCTTCTCTATGGGCGTCTCCGCGATCCAGGGCCACAACATCGTGTTCAAGTACAAGCCCTCGTCCACCGACGTTCGCATGTCCACTTTGCATGCGGCTCCTCGGCAACCGGAAGATGTCCCTGTATTCCCCCGGTGCCCAACTATATAAGCGGCCGCCCTCTCCCGCTCTTCAAGTCGACTTCAACACCTTCGTCTTCCCGGGTTCAAGCTAGCTGTTCGCCACCGCGAAGCGTCGTCTGATTCCCGGCCTTCTTCTACGCCTTATTCGTGCTCGCCTTCATCGCCATCGCCTTTGCCTTATTCCCGTTTTCCCGTTTTTGTCGTTTATTGTAACAGACTACCCCACCGGGAGTCTGTAATAAACTGTATCCCCCGTCCCAGTCGTTTGCTCTCCCAGGCTATCGAGGCGCAAATTCTTGTCACAGTCGTGACAGGTCGGCAAGGAAAGGCTATATATTTTGTCGGATATGATTATTTCGAGGGCATTTCCGCGCCGCGATACGCACAACATTCCTACGCAAAATTTTGCATTATCATAATCCATTACGCGATGGAAAAAGGAGGCGCGGTGCGTGTCGCGTCGCGGCAAAATATGAAAGTATTGGCTTTGCGGTCTGTTTAAATCGGTCGAATGGTCAGAAATTTAATTGATTACTTAATTATTAACTTTAAAACAAACATTAGTTTTGTAATTTTTTCCTATTTTTAATCCTGAAGCCAGATTTTTGGAGTCGAAAATAAGGATAGTGGAATCGCATCTAATCCGTAAAAACAAGAAACATTCCATAAAATTTCAGGCGTCAATCAGGACACGAGTTTCGAACGCGAAGTCCAAGCATTGACGGGGAGTCGATGCCGGATATTTGCATACGATAAGGTCTCGGAAATTAATGAAAAAATTTGGCTTTATTTCTACAAGAAATGGGTAATATACAAATGCAATTCATTTTAGAATGCGCCGAAGAGCAATTCGGTCCTGAAGGGATTTGAGGAGATTCGCGCCAAATTCAAGCGCGGCTTCATCGGTGATGTGCAAGATGAGGCGGCCGGGAAATTGAGTTTAATCGAAGAGATGAGACTCAATGGTGATCAGGAGATCGAGATCCTGAAGATTGATATTGAAGGTAAGTTAAACTTTAAATCACCCTAAAATAGATTAAATCGAGATAATAAATCCAGAATTAAATCGAACCAAAAGAAGCAAAGGTTGGCTAGCAAGCAATCGGAGAATTGAAAATCACAAGGTAGGCCCAGTAGTATCCGGGCCAAAGTATGAAACATTTTTAAATCCGGTGGACCGGACACAAAAATAAAATTCAACCAGGTATCCTAAGATCGGGTGTATACAGGGTTTCCCGAAAAACCCTCCTCTAACCCGAAGCAGAGGTATCGGATCGGAATGATAGATTCGTAAGCCCTTCAAACGGCGTGTTTCCAGCAATTTTCAAATCCATTTTCTTATGTAAATGCGCCATTTTACAAGACCTTTTGCAGAATTTTGCGGTTTTTCAGGGGTCTATTTCTATTGTACGAGCCATTTGCCTCAATTTCTCCCGGCAAAATGACCGGAAGTAGCCGTAAATTAGACGCAGAAGCCGTTCTTAATGTTTTTAAATTCGCTGTAAAGTGGCCCCGTCAAATAAAAAGCTGATTTTGAAGATTATGGTAAACTGGCCGTTCCAAGGGCTTTCGAATTGTATAACTTTCATTCCGACGCAATCCGACGTCGAGTTAGAGAGATCCGACGTTTTTTTGGGACGCCCTGTGGTTAGTTAGTGTTTCGTTTTCGATTCAGTGGAAAAGAATTAGAAAAGGCAGGGGCGTAATATGAGACGCGAAATCAAACCAGATTACCAAAAACAGTAAAAAGTAATCTGTGCAAATGTCTGAAACATTTTTACCTAGCTAATAACTGATGTCAAATCCAAATATATAATACTTATTCAAAGCCAAACAATTGGAGGCTGGGGCACGAAGAAGCAGGATTATGAAAAACAGAGAATTTTGCGCGAGGGGAAAGTATGAAACATGTTTAATTGGCTAATTAGGACGCAATAAAATTTCGGATTTCGGAGCCCCTTTGCACAGCGTTGAAGCCGACCTTATTAAGGAATTACAAACAATTTCTCGCGTGTGATTTGTTGCAACACTATTTTTTAGGCGGTGAATTCGTAGTTCTACCGTCAATTCTACAGCACACCAAAATTTGTCAGGTAAATTTAAATACCATAATTTGTTTATTTTTTGTGTAACTAGATCCTCGTCGAGGTGCACGGGGACCCAAATCGAGTGCTGAAGCTGTTGAAATTGCTCGGCCAACATGAGTACAGGTAATTCCGGGAATGTGTTTCAAATTGGTAGGGGTAGCGGGGCAACGACATCTATCCAATTTTTACCAGATAGAGAAGATTATCATTAATTTTTCCAAGTATACAAAGAGCTTCTATCCACAGGCCTTCCATTCAATTTAATTTAAATTTGACTTTATTAAGAACCAGTACCGGATTGTTAAAAGGCCGTTTGCGGCAGGACCGAAATAGGCTTGGCACAGTTTTTTTCCGACCCTGTTTTTTTGACGCCATCGGATAGAGCATAATCGAATTAGTGGGGCCATATAGTTTTGAAAGTTTAAAAAGTTATTTTTTGGGGTTTAAAGGGCCGTTAAAGTTGCCCACATCGAAAATCTATCTCGAAAATTACTGGACCAAATTTGCTGAAAACTTGTGACAATGCCTAATTTGGGATGGAGATCATTTCTCTAATACATTTCAAAACCTGAAAATGACCGGAACATAGGAATCTCGCGTACTAAAAACAGTTTTTTAAGATTTTCTATTTAATGGGAAATCGGCGGCATCGTCAAAGTAGCATAGAAAGATGCGCCAATTTTTTTTACATCGTATGATGTGTCTTTTAAGATGCCGCCGTTTTCCCATCATCCGTAAAAACGGCATTTTCTTAATGATAAAAAGAAAAATTTCCAGATTTTCAAACGGGGAGTTACCCACTTGCTTCTAGAAGCGCAGCCAAGTCAATTGCAAAAAAGAGCAAAAAGAAATTCGATCTCTAGAAGGGGGCTGGGTTTGAACTCGGGTCGTTCGCCTGGGAGGCGGCGGCGCCCTCTAGCTTCTGTCCCCCAGAGCCCCCCAGGTGGACCATCGCGGGTTCGATTCCCCTCCGTACTCAACTTCGCGTAGATGAAGAATTTAATTTTGCTCTTTTATGATAATGGGTGGCATTGATCTCTAGATGCTTTCCGCAATCCTTTATATTTCTCATTCGCAGCCCCCGATCTTTTAAGGCCACTTTTGTTGATTCCAGAGATCACGACTTTTATAGATGATGGGAAAACGGCGGCATCCTAAAAGACACATCATACGATGTAAAAAAAATTGGCGCATCTTTCTATGCTACTTTCAGGATGCCGCCGATTTCCCATTAAATAAAAAATCTTAAAAAACTGTTTTTAGTACGCGAGATTCCTATGTTCCGGCCATTTTCAGGTTTTGAAACGTATTAGAGAAATGATCTCCATCCCAAATTAGGTATTGTCACAAGTTTTCAGCAAATTTGGTCCAGTAATTTTCGAGATAGATTTTCGATGTCGGCAACTTTAACGGCCATTTAAACCCCAAAAATCAACTTTTTAAATTTTCAAAACTATGCCACCCTACTAATTCGGCCACGCTCTTTCAGATGGCATCATAAAAATAGGGTCAAAAAAAACTGTGCCAAGCCATAATGGGAACAGTCCGAGTGACTGGCGGACGGCCTTTTAACTGGGAAGCTAATTCCCAATAATTCCGTACAATCCCATAGCCAAATCCAAATAATTTTTATGGAATTTTACGCAGTTTTTAGATAGAAAAAGCCCATCACGAATTATAAACATTTTCAAAATTTGCTATTTTGGCAAAAATAACATCAAAAAATTCTACAAATCATCCAAATATAAAAAATTTTTTGAAACAAATGTTTTAAAAATAACCAAAGTCCAATTCTGTTCACGGCCATGAGTTCAGTCCATCAATCTTTCCATTTTTCCCATTTTTGTATTCTTTCCTACGAATCAGAAAAATTAAAAACGTTATAAAAATGCACTATTACGGGGTCGGATATGGGAAAAAATAGGATTTATGTCCCATTCCCCCCGCTAATAGCTCAGTACCCAAAACCATAGCTTTGTAAAGTATATCGAAAAAAACCTGGAAAAAAGTCAAGCTCTGATAGGTTCTTTTAAAAACTGACATCAGGTTCAGACAGCCAAAATATGTTAAAAAATGTTTCACACAGCAGGCTAAGAAAATAGCTAAAAATAAGCTGCATTCGGTCAAGGCCTCTATTCTCTGTTCCGACGCATTAAATGATAATCGTAATAACGTAGAATTCGTTAAAATAAAATAAATTATAATGCGAAACACCAATTAAAAAAAAATTTCCTAGCCGGTACGAAGTCTCATTAATCAAAATCGTTATTAACAAAAGAATAGTAATAAACGAAACATTGTTTTTAACGGGTATGCCTGATTTAATAACTCATTTTTATTGAATTGCAGGTTATTCTCTTACGAGATTAACGGGAAACATCATACGCTCGCCGAATATTCCCTCGTACACAAGGATTGCTTCGAAAAGTACGGTATCACCCCGTATGCCCATTATTTGGACGGGCTGGACGGGTAGTTCGATTGCTTGGTTCTTTGACGTTATCGGGGGGGGGCTGATAAATCCAGAAATGTTCAATAATTTAATAGTAAATGCTTTAACAGCAATTCACAAAAATTTAACTACATTTCAAGTGGAAAAACTATCTAGAAAACAGAAAAAACCCCTTAAAAGTCGACATTTTGGCCAAAAATCGCCTATTTTCATTCATTTTCATTTTCCATTTTCATTTTTCATTTTCTAATAACATTTTTGAAAGTTTTTACGTTAATAAATGGCAAAAAAGTTTAGAAACACTTCCTCTATTTATGTAAAGGAAAATCTGGATCTGGAGGAAAAAAATAAATCCATTTCCCCCCCGATAATGGAAAAGCACCACGAATATTGAGCCCTATAATGTATATTTTTGTGATTTCGTAGTGTAATTGCCAGCAAAGCATAAATAATTTATTGATTCCGATAGCAAACGCCGGTCATCGCACAAATCGCTTGCAGATATCGAGCGATTCTGGTAAATCTGAAAAAAGGTAATTATATATTATTACTTCTTTTCAGCATGTAACGGGCCTTAAAAAACGATGCTATACGTACTTTGTAAAGTATAGTAATCCAATTGGTTAAATTAGCCGAAAATGCGATTGTTCGAGGCAAAAAAAATCAGGTTTCAAAAAATCCTCGTTACGAATTAGTTTCTTGGGTCGTAGTAAGTTGACCTGATTATGCGATCGAAATGTCTTCGAATTGATGGTTTCAGGTATTAAAATATATTGTTAAAATCCCGAAAATCAGTCTCAATTCAAATCTGAGGTCAATGAACCTACCAATGCCTTTTCAACCCTTCTACCGCCCAAAATTAACTGGCCTGAATTTTTAAGCTTAAAAACTGTTATTGTTCGGTTAGATACGTCTGGATAGGAGGGGCTAAAATAACGGGAGGGAACTCAATCTTTTTAACAATAAAAAACAGCTATAAATATAGGAGTTTTTCGGGGAATTTAGAAAAGCAACTAGTAATGCTTTTCGACGCTCTATCGATCGGGTTTTTCAAAATTACAAAAATCTTGAAATAGGTTCTCTTTAAGACTACCTTAATAGGCGGATAGGATTTCGCATTAGCTTACAAGCCTCTAACGATATCTACAAGTGAAATGCACTATGTTTTGATAAGGTGCCGTTAGCAAATGATTTTTCGGGCTGTATTAGCCATATAATTTCGAAACATCAAAAGTTTACCGAAGTTAAATTTATCTAACAATAGGTATTCCGCCCCCGCTAATTCATTTGAAATTCATTTTGGGATATTAGATACGGTGAGATTATTACTCCTTTCATCTAGGTTTTCTTAAATATAACTTAAAACATGTTATTGTAAAACTTGTAAAAAAATTGTACAATTTTATCGTAAGAAACGGCGAAAGATCCTTAATAATTGATATACCTTTAACGATACAGTATACCCCACCTGGCCAACATATTCGACGGGCAACCCTTCGTTCCAAATGACGTTAGCGCTATTAGATGGGCTCGATTCTGGTAGTCTCGTTGTTCCAGACCACAGCCGGAATCTCCCTACAAATTTTTGAATTTTACGCGATTAAAATTGCATAAAAATAACTTAAAAGGCGCTTTAAAGGGACTGAGAGCGCTAGAGTCGACCTATGCCTCGACTAGGTCTCGACAACTACGCAAATAACGTTTTTTATATTCTGGTTTTGTCATGCCGCGTAGCTGTCGATATCCGATCGACGAACTCGGTAAATTTTCGGGCTATTCGGGACTTTAAAGGGACATGCAAGGTATGGCTTCGGGTTTTGGGTACGGCCAAACTGAGTTGGCTTCGTTTGATCAAGCCATGCCGCCTTGCCACCATTTCGATGTCGCAATCCATCACGCAATGGAAAGACACTGACATTAAAGGGATTGGTAAGGCATCGTTATCGATTTATCGCTGATGTTTTTCGCCGCGCTCGCGACGCGCAACGCGCACTTGGTTTTCCGTGTGATAATCGATTACCAAGGGAATTAAGGTAACGTATGGTTAAAAAAAATTTTGTGACTTTGGAATTTTGGGTGTTTCAGATTATTACAGGTTATGAGAAAATAATTCCTGATAATAGCCAGTGGTTCATAACAGCAACAATAAAATATCGCAAACTAGCGTCTATCACACCCGCTTTAAATTTCTACGAACGATGGGGGGGCCCCCATAAAAACTATGTGCAGCCGAATTTGCCAACCGAAATATTAATAAACAAATTTTTATCACTAAACCAGGGTTGAAAAAACCGCTTCGCGGCTTTTCAACCCTGGCCCCGTCCAGGATCTGTGAAAGTCCTTAATTTGCATGTTTCTTCCTGAATTCTAGCAAGAAAAAAATGAAAAACGGCTCCTCTTTCCCTTTATATAGGCTCTTCCTACTTCCGGCGTATGCTAATTTCCTCTAACAAACAGGGTTTTACAAAAACCTATTTTTAATAGCGAAAACCGCAATCTTTCAAAATTTTTATGTGTGTGCAGTCGATTCCGGACCATTCTAAACCTATTGTCGTTTCTTCCCTATCCAAAAAAACCCTTCCCCGAGGCTGTAGGAGCGGAACATCCTAACGGAAGTGCATGCAAATATACACACACACACACAAACACTATTTTTTTATATATAGTAGGATTGATTAAAAATTAGATTAATTAGATAAGATTAAAATATTGATGCAATCGCGATTTTAAATACGCTTCCCCTTTTCTTGCGTAATCGATTATCCCCCCCCCTTGAACTAGCTCTGCGGTAATAAACTGAACGCGATGTTTCAGGAAAATTTATGGGACGCTAAAATTTTTCTGCTACGATGTTCCCAGGTGGTCGTTTGCAATATTCGCTAAAAAGCCTCAATCAAAGCCGTACGAAATTCATAACGCAGAAACTCGATACTATCTCTTGCCACTCCCTTTAAAAGCCTGTATTATGAGTCAAAGCTTACATGGCAAGTCCGGGGTGCTGTATAATTGTTTTGGTCCATGGAATTCGCACACAAATAGTCGTCTGCCTAAAAATCGATTGTTTTTAGCAAAACTAGAGATAGCGAGATAAAGGATAGATATAGGAGAGAGAGAGAGCGAGAGACAGACAGCAGAGAGACAGAGAGAGACAGAGAGAGAGAGAGAGAGAGACAGACAGACAGACAGACAGACAGACAGCAGAGAGACAAAGAGAGAGAAAGAGAGAGAGAGAGAGAGAGAGAGAGAGAGAGAGAGAGAGAGTTCATCAAAAGCTTAGCTAACCTTATTTGGCAGCTGATCGGACCACGGCCTCTCGCATCGCCTGTTAATTTGCATTGGCGTCTCGCGGATATAGGGTGCCCCTTCGACAAAAGCTAAATAGTATCTTTTTTTTAATTTTTCTTGGGTGTAAGAAAATTTCAAATTAAAAAAAGTCTGATAAAGATGTGTTTCGATAGAATATAGCATGAAGCTGTTATTGGACTTGACACTTGACTGAAGTAGCAGAGAATTATAAACTGAAAAGCGCAGAAATAATATAAAATTATTGTATCGCCAAGAAACGTTTAATCAAATGTAAATTTTCAACTTTGGATAATACCTCATTCATGAACGTCCAACCAGTAAACGTATAGATTCTGCTATAGAAATTTCTTAACCCAGGTTTGGTCACCGAAATTTTTGCCGAATTATACCCGGAAATGCGTTTAAATTAAAAAAATTAAAATGTTTTAGCCAAGCACATTTACTAAAGAGGGCTGGGTTCAATAATGACGGGTTTATATAGGAACTTATAAAATTTTTGCGAAGAAATGTTTCGATAAATGAAGGTAAATTGAGATAGCGGTCTGCTAGAATTCCGAACTGATCACGGGCTACAATATTATGCTGCAAGAAGTGTAGAAAGCCCATTTTTAAAGAGCGTTATCTGTCCTCGATTTCTTTTTATACATTTTCTTTTTTTCTTATTTTCTTATTTTCTTTTTCTTTTCATATCTTACCCGAACTTCTACCCCATCCAGATACCGTAAGCACATCCCCCAATTCCTCGTTTCGCCATGGTAAACAGATAGGCCTCGTCTTGTTGTTCCACAGGATTGGACTGAAAAAATAAAATGTAATGTTTCGCCCATGTTTAGGGGATGATTGAAGTGTTTTTTAATTTACAGTTTTGAAAGACGCCCTCTATTTTCCATGAATTTGTTCCTTTTTGGACCCTTGAACTCCGAATTAGCATACAATGTCGGCGTTTAATAATGTCGATGCTCCATTTTGGTGAAAAATTCATAATGTCGAATTTTCATAACACCGAAATTCAAAATGTCGAAATTTTTTGCGATATTTGGGCTTCTTTGCGGGAGATTTATTTATGTGAATCTCGAAGTTCCGAAATTCGGCATTCCAAAACTTCGACTATATAAATGTCGAACTTTTGTTAGTAATCCATTGTAAAGGCATTCCTTAAAAATTCAATGTTTCAGAATTTCCAAATGCCTTTCAAAGAAATATTACGCTCGGTTTTCTCCATTGCCTTGGGCTACAAATCTCCTTTCTAAATTACTGCTTCATGGACGCGTAGATCCGTAATGAATGCCTAGTAACGTATAAAAGTATTTAATAGTTGTTAGGTGGAATAACCTTATTTCAACGAGAAAACTTTCAAAAAATCGAAATATTGGCCAAAAACCGTCCATGTGCTCTAAAAATCTTTATTTCATCGTTTTATAAACTTGTAAACTTTTTACGTTTATGATTAGCAAAAAAAAACTGCTTAGAAACACTTCCTCTGCTTATATTTGAAAAGTTGGATCCTAAGCAAAATGCGGGTAAAGACCTCGGCTTACAAAATTCAAAATTAATGTTTCGAACAAATGCAGTAGGAGGGTGCTGGGTTTAGCCATAATGAACCCGCCCCACTTTTCCAACTCGATAATGGCCCAATCATGTCCGGAGGAGCAGCGGTTCTGTGCAAACTCGTCGTCCACCATTACTGAGCGAATCTAAAACATTTTTTGCAGATT